CAGCCAGACATACCCTTCTGCTGCCTGTGGATGGCTCTAGGTTGAGCTGATACAGGCAAAAGACTTCTCTTTCCCATATTTGGGCCGACAGGGTGCTCTAAAAGGAAAAAGCATTCATCCTCTTCCCCTGTCTCTTGTAGCTAACAAAGTGAGAAAGAGCCTGTGGCCTAGTGGCTAACACCTCTGCTTAACATGCAGAGAGCCCAGGTTCGAATCTCAGAAGGGTATGTCTGGCTGATGAAAACCAAATAAGGTTTGAAATAGCTATCCCAGTACTCCCTTAATTCTTTGTTAGCAATTCAAATTTTGGAACACATACATACATACATACATACATACATACATACATACATACATACATACATATGCATACACACACAGAGTATGTGTGTGTGTATATATATGTGTGTATATGTTTGTATATATATATATATTGCATATATGTATGTATGTATATAAAATAAAATGTATGTGGACAATACAATATATGAGATAAAATATTAAATTAAGATAAAACCATAATACAATCACCATAACATGGTGCCATAGAGTTGCAATGGGATAGATGTAATAATTTGATATCTAAGGAAGCTAAGCCTCTAAGGAGTCTTCAAACTCAACCCTTTATGATTTGTGGACTTCAACTCCCAGAATTCCTCAGCCAGGCACACTGGCTGAGAAATTCTGGGAGTTGAAGTCCATGAATCATAAAAGGGCCGAGTTTGAAGTTTCCTGCTCTAACTGCTTCTGGCATGGCTGAGATGAGATCATCCCAGGTGCCTTGAAATTTCCCGAGGGGACATTTTTTAACTATATGTGTTATAGCTTGTTCTAGTGCACCACAGTTGCATTGTGGGCTTTCTGCCATTCCCCACCTAAAGAGAGCTTCCTGGAACCATATTTGGAGCTGAAATAAATGTTGCAGAATAAACAGAACTGCTAATTGTGGGAACAGTTAGGCATGCATCTGCATCAGCACTTACCATCCTGCAGGCAGCTTTGGAGG